AGCCTCTCTCCTTTCTCTCCTCCATTACCTTGTGCTTCTTATTCTCCTCATAGCCTTCTAAATCACCTCGTTCATTAATTTGCTGGGGCCTAGGCTTACTCTGTTTCTTCCAGCAGGAGCAGGAGGGCAGGGATTAAGTCTTGTCTATTTCTCTGTCCTTTCTGCCTAGTCCAGTCCCTGGCACACTTTTAGTGCTCAATACCTACTTGTGGCCCAACACTGACTTACTGAGCAGCCCGAGGCCAGTCAATGAGTTTTCTAGGGCACCATCAAAGAGACTTGAGCATTCAGAAGAGCTCTTTCTGCTGGAAGTAGCTTAACCACAAATGGCTGATGAGCACCAGAGCCCAGCAATAATGCAGGTGCCCGGCATGCTGAGGCTGCCAGGCGTACACGCTCAAGCCCACACCAAGGAAGTGGCACCCCTGCTTTTTGTCTGCAGTTAATGACCTGCAGCACTGGCCAAACTGTCCAACAGTTTTTTTATTAGTCCAATACCCTGTAAATGTGAAGGAAATGGCTTTTAAATGACTTAATGACAAGTGGACAATAGAAGGACCCACCCAGGCCACAGATGGCCAGCAGAGGCCAAGCGCCCTTCCTGTGCCTTGACCATGTGTGTGTCATCTCCCCTCAGCACAGGGGCTCTTCTCTGAGTGAAGGGTGTGGCTGTTGGAGAAGCCATATTTGCTACCCCAGGGTTGTGGCCTCATCCCTGGCAGTCCATAGCCCACCCCCTACCCAGGGACTGAGCCTGAAGCCTGGTCCTCCTCCCTCCGCCTGGGTGCCTTGGACCATGGGGCTTCATCTCAATGGCTCTGGATGATCATCATGTGTTTAAGCTTCATGCATCTCCCACCCTAGACTACGACTCTTGTCTCCACTCACGGAGCTTTGGGCTTCCCTTCAGACTTTCCTTCCTGGCTATATAATCCACAGTTCTCTGGGGGTGGTCTGGTCTGATTAACCTCTTCCCCCCAGATAGTATATGCAGAGTGGGCAGGGACTGTGCTTGTGGTGCCCACCTCTGTCACCCCTGTCTCTGGCGTCTGGCCCAGCCCTGGTCAGTCTTGTGATAAGCATTTATACATCTGAGCATCTGAATGACCAACTGGCAGTAGTTCTCCTGTGATCCCAGGGCAGGGAAACAAAGGTTCAGGGAGCTGGAAGAACATAAGGAGGGCAGCCAGTCTACAGGGAGGGGAAACTGAGGCCCACAGAGAAAAGTGATACCCACTGAGCTGGGCTGGGGCTGGAGGTGGGAATAGACTCAGGGCCTTGCCTCTCAGTCTGGCTCTTACAACAGATCTAGGTGGTCTGGCTGCTGGAAACACATGCATGACCAGCCTAGGGGTGGGAAGATGTCTGGGCATCAGGCACTCGACGGCACAGAACGCCCAAGTTCTCTGGGGCCTCCTCACACTGTGGCTGTGGATAAAGAGGCTTGTTCACAACAAGCTCAGGGCAATGAAGCCACCAAAATACACACTGCCTGGACTCCCCATGGTTGGGTAACCCCCCTCTGGAGTTTGGAATTATTGACAGGCAACTTGGGGACCCCTGCCTGTGCTCATTCCAATTCCCAATTTAAGTAACACCTCTCCTTTGTCCCTTGGTCTGGCCAATGTGCTTCATCTAAGAAATCTTCTCAGTTACCAAGTCTGGGCAAGATGCCCCTCTTTTGGGCTCCCCCACCTTGGAGTGCCAGGGCACCGCATTGCTTAGCACAGAGTTGGGACTCAGGGAACGTTTGTTGAGTCATAAGATGAAGTGTTGATTCACCAAATCTGAGTCTAGGAAGTGCTGATTACACCTGTCTTCCTGCCAAGGTCCAGCCCCCCTTCAGCCAGGCCTTGTGGCAGCCTTGGACACAGATGCAAGGCTACTGCGGGGTGCTCCTTCCCCATCTGCAACTCAGCCCTCAGTCTCCCCCTGTCCCTGCTGAGGCCAATACCCCCAGGAGCCAAGCCAGCATTTCCAAAGTCACCTCTTTTCTACCCTAGCTGATTCTGGAATCATCCTCCCAGCAATCTGGCTCCCAAAGTTTGTGTTGGGGCCATTCACAAAGATCAATTGGAAATCCCAGTGGGGCTCATCACTAAATTCTCCTTTTAAAGGTTTTACAGTGACATGGGATGCTTTTGTTTTCTAAGAGAAAGGCATGTTGCAGATGAATTATTGACCAAAAACAATTGGCTGTGTGCAAGAAATCTTCCACTTACTCTGAGAGAGTGCAGCCAGGCAGCTAGCTGGCTTCCCAATGATGCCATCTCTCACAGCTGAGCTCAGGGCCACTGGGGAGGTGGGGAGGAGCACTTTGCTGTCCTCCGTGGGGCTGTGACTTCTGCTGCCTCCTTCTCTCTCCCACAAGGGGTGAAGCCTCCCTCCCCAGACTCTTTCCAGTTGGGTTCTGGCAGTGTTGGGCTCTATTTCTGCCTCCTCTGGCAATGAGCACAGCGCTCTTCTGTCTGCTGCACCAAGGATGCCCTCTTTGGGTATCCTGAGGGCAAAGGCTTAGTCTTCCCCCGTGTCCCCAGGTCTTGTCCCAAAGATGGATGCAGAGTCTGGTGCCGGGGCAGAAAAGGGCTGGCTGCAGAGTGTCTGTGTCACCCCCTCTGCACTTCACCTCTCTCCCTGCCCTGTGCCTAGGAGGCCCACTAGCTGAATCTATCTCCCAGTTCCCCTGCTTCTTGGGTTTGGCAATGGGAGGCACCCATGAGCGACCTGAGAGCATAGAAAGAGGCTGGCAGCATCTCCTCACCCTTCCCCTCTGAGGGCTGCATTTCTTGCACCGATCACAGGTCCTGCTGGATGGCCCCCTGTTGAGTGTGAGTCTCTCACTAGCTTCCCATGGCACTAGTTCCCTTACCTCCCACTGCTGCCAGTCCCTGAGTGCCTCACTAGCCCCATTGGCTCCCTGCACCTGCTGGTGGTCCTGGGAAAGAGCCCCATCCACACCCCCAGAAAGAGCCCACCTTCAAATTCTGATCCATTGAGCCAGCTGGGTGAGTTCTGTTTTTTTCCCTAGGACACTGATAAACCCAGGAACCAAGAGAAAGGAACAGGATAGGGAGCAGTTAGAAGGCCCCCCTGGCTGCCCTGAGAGGAGGCCTCACCTACTTCTCTCCTGGGAGATCCCCAGCCCAGCTGAAACAAAGCCCAGAATGGCTGTGTCCAGGCAACACTGTCTGGAAAGATATTTATGTGAGTCTGTTCTCCTGCTATGTTCCTTCTTCCTACCTCCAGTTGAAGCAGGTAGGACTTTCTTTAGGGGAGGTTTGGGGCAGAGGTGGCTCAGGGTGTCTTTCATAAGAGCAAAAATTAATTTAAAACATTCTTTATGTTGAGCACCTCAGGGGAAAAGGGGAAGCCCTTGAGGGGACTGCCAGCCTGTGTCCTGGTGCTGCATACTCTTCCCCAAACCTTCAGTAGCTCCTGAAGTTACAAGCAAAGCCACATTTAGCCTGGTGACAAAGCTCCTCCGACCCCCCTGTCAGGCTGGCGGCCCTCACCAGCCTCATATTCCTGGTGTCCTGGCACTTTTGTTCACACAGGTGGCTTTGGCTGGATGCTCCCCTGCTCTGCTTAAAACCCTCCTCCCATCCCAGCAGACCCCTGCTCAAATGCCACTAGCATCCCAATCGGGGATCCCCATAACTCCTCTGGGCGGCCACAACAGGCTGCCAGCAAACCCTCTGCTACCTCCTCGGTCCCTACCCCCTTAGGCTGGGGGAGCAGCCTGTGGGTATAGCCTGGGTCTGACCTGTTTCCATGCCCACTGAGCCAGGCACCTGGGAGGTACCCAGAAAATACCTGGGGATTAGACAGCCCTGTCCCCTGGAAGCCTCCAACATATCCACTTTGGTTTCCAAGGCTGAGTTCCTGCCTAGAGTCTGAGAACCTTGGGTCTGTTTGCCTGTCTGTCTGTCTGTCCTTCTGGACTCAGAGGCACAGACATGCCTCACCACACCTCTGCCACCCCTTCTTCTGCACCCCTGAGGAAGGGCAGACAGGGACATCGAAGTGTGACACCAGCCTAATGGAGTGTTGAACTCATCTGCAGCACTAAAGCAGGGCACTAAGGTCTGGGCTTGGGGGCCTTATAATTCTGGGTTCAAATTCTGCCTCCCCTGCTCACAGGTTGTACCATCTGAGGCAGCTCCCCAACTCCTTAGAACTTCAGTTTCCTCATCTACAAAATGAAGCCTATTGGGAAAGATGCTGGGGAGATGAACTGAGAGAACGAAGGTGAGATGAGCCCAGTGCTGGCCGAGGTGTTGCCACCTCTAGTTATTCCCTTGTTATTTAGCATGGGTTTGGAGCCTGCCCTGCAGCACGAGCGGGGGACAGAGGGGGCTCGTGGCTCGGGCCCATCCTGTGTGGAGCTGCCACACCTGGCCCCTGCCCACGGGTGGTGGCCTCTTCTGCCGAGTTGCCAGGACACTTCTGGGCAGTTGGCTTTTCACTCTCCTTTATCCTTTATGCCTGACCATGTGCTTGTTAGGACTTTCAACTTGATATTTTACTCGTTCTGTTTTTCAATTATTAAATTGCACATATAAAACAACTGATTCAAAGAGGAAAACTGAATATTTTAGGTGCTAGGATTGTATTTCTCACAGACCCTCCAACTTTGGGCTTCAGGCAACTTTTAAAAAACTTTCTTCTTAGAAATATTATATTGTTAACAACTCTGATTACCCTTGAGCATTTTGCAACAGTTTTGCATTTTTTGTATTATACTGGGCTTGACATACAATTGGTGCTAATCAAATGTCTGCAAACTTCCTATAAATGACAGGGACATTGTATCTCTGATCCACTTTCAAATATTTCAGCAATGAAACAGATCAAAGGAAAAAAAAATGGAAAATCTTGATAGCTGTTGAATTAGAGTGAGGATAGATGGGAGTTCATTGTACGTTCTAATGCTTAACATAGAAATGATGGGGTGGGAGCACCCTTAGACTCAGAGCTGGGTGCAGTAGGCAGGCACTTACCTTTTTATGGCTTTGTAACAAATGATAACAAGTACAGTCAGAAACACCAGGGAGGCACAACATACGGCAATGATGATCACCAGCCCTGACCACCAGCTTTCCTCAGCAGGGCAAGAGGTAGAGTTGGGAGCTGAAAAGAGACAGAAGCAGCCTGAGTCTCCCCTGCATGAGCCAGTCAGGCCAGCATCAGAGGTGGGACTGTCATGGATGACACCAATTGGGGGAGGGGGATGTAGGAGGGGCAGTCACCACCATCCATCATTGGGATAAAAGCTCTCTAACATTTCCTACTGTCCCTGCCCCCACCCTGTAGCAGGTGACATCATAGCTGGCCCCCAGCCAGGCTGGGCCCTAAGTGCCTCCATCCCGGCCCTGGCGTGTGCTCAGAGCAAGGGCTAAGCGCTGTGCCCCAGGCCATCTATCCTCTCTCGGCATGAGCTAACTGACAGCAGGGTCAGGTCTAATTTCCCATGAAAAATAACAGAACATCTCATTCTCTCAGCTGAGGCATTAAATCTGGTTCTTCTGCAGGTGGGGGTGGGGAGTGGGGCTCACAGGGAACAAGGGGGGAGGAAGGAGAGAAAGGGAGGCCCAGCCATGCTTATTTCTTAAGCTAATTTCCTATAAGAGGCAGGCTCTTTCCCTTCTTGGATCTAGCCCATGTGATGGGGTACCTGTAGCTGTCTCAGTTTGGAAGGGGGTGGCTGGAATTTGGAAAAGTTTCATTGACAAAGCATCTGATATGGGGTGCTCCAGGACCTTCCCAACACTATCCAATCCATGCAGAGCACAGGTGAACCTGCCCTCCCCCCTTGGGCACAGGCTGGGTTGGGGAGGACCTGAAGGACAGGTGTAAGTAAGGCCAGTTCACTTTCCTCACAGAAAAGCAAAGACATTGCACTGCCTCATCCCAGGGGTTCTGGAAAGACTCAGGTACAACTGGAAAGAAGTGTCCAGAATTGTAAAAAGAATGAGGGAAAGACGAGGACAAGAGAGAAAGAAAGGAATTAGGGGGAAGGAATGAACATATGGAGAGACAGCATTAGCTTTGGGAAGGTCTTCAAGACATGCATAAACGCAAAATAATCAGAACTCTGTCCCAGACCTGGTGTCCACCCATAAAAGGCAACTCAAGGGGTTCAAACAGCATGTGGAGAACAGGTGGATCACTTCTCAAAGGATACCATGGATGGCTTCATTATTATGATTCTCACCAATGCGTAATTCACGTCTAGCGAAAGGCACCCGTCTTAAATGTACTGTCTGATCAGCTTTGCCACACGCTACACCAGTGGAAGACACATGTCCAGTATGACATAGAATATTTCCAACAGCCCAGGAAGTTTCCCTGTGCCTCTTTCTAGGCAGTGCCACCCTGGGGGCAGCCACTGTTCTGATTTCTAAAATCATAGATTAGATTTGCCTGTCTCTGGCATTCCTATCAATGAAACCATGCAGTACATGCGCCTTTCTCTTCCTTCCTTCACTCAGCAGAGTGTTTTTGAGATTCACCTGTGTTGCTGCATTTCAGTAGTTCCTTCCCTTTTACTGCTGGGCAGCATTTCATTACAGGAATACCATAATCCGTTCAGCCATTCACCTGATAAATGCCTAGGCTATTTCTAGGTTTCTACTACGGTGAATAAGGCTTCTATAAAATTTGTGTACAAGTCTTTGTATAGATGTGTTTTCCTCTTTCTCTTGACAAATGTCTAGGAGTGGGATTGCTGCATCGTATGGTGTGTGTGTCAGATTGACTTTATAATAAATAGGCTGTTTTTCTCCAATGCTGTACTCCTGTACAGAACAAAGATGGAAGAAGGAAAGAAGGGAGTGGTTATGGAATTGTTACTGAATTGTTGCAGCAGGGTTAGGAGATCCAGGCAGCCATTACATGCTTCCCAGGGAACCATGGCTAAAACCCCATTAACAAATGCAAGGTCCCCAGGGGTGAAACTGAGATTGTCACAGAGACCAAGCAGAATCAGAAAGGCTTCCGCCTCTGAACTGCTCTCTGCCAGGATAGCATCAGGCCTCTAGAAACCTCACCACTGAAAAGATACAGAATACAGAACTCAAAAGTAGGCATAAACTGTAAGGGAAAGGAGGCCCTAAAGAATTCTCATTTTCCCCAGGAAGGACTTGTTTAATGCTTTTTTGGTGAAATATCAATCATCAAATTCTTCCCCCCAGTTCCTCATTTTATGGTGTCCCAGACTTGCCTCAGTCTTTCCGGGGTGGAGGGGATGCCCCACCTTCCCTATACTCTGGAAAGTCCTTGTTGGAGAGTCAGAAATGCAACCAAATCAACTAAGGCTGTTCTGTCTACACTGGGGTTTGCCTCCTCATTTTCACTGCAATCCCCAAGGCCATGCTTGCCCACAAATGGTGCACAGAAGGTTACCCAACACTCCTGCGACTGGGGATGGATCTACCAGTGTGTGGTCTCAGCTAAGGAATTCTGTACCCCCCACCCCACAGAAAGCACTTGGAAACATGGGAGGGGGCTGTCATTGGTTGCCAAAGTGAGTGATCCCAGCTGTATGGATGTTAATGACAACATTAATGACAACAAACTGGGTATTTCCACATAGGTAGAATTACTTCTCAAAAAAATGCCAACAGGGCCCCTGTTGAGAAACTCTATCAACTTGATTGACTGTAAGCCTCCCTTGGAATTCGGTACTAAATTCCACAGTGCCTCTTTTCTTTACATTCTCTGTTCATGAGATGGGAATTTTCTTTTTAATATTTTACTTTTCAAAATATATTTGGTATGGAAAGCAGGGAGCAGGTGGTTGAGTGTCCTGTACAGGGTCCCCTTTGCAGAAAATGATCACCACACACTTGTAAGGAAACTCTGTGATGCAAAAATGCTAACATATGAAAAGAGGGAGGTGTTTTGTGGAACCTAGTTGAGGAGGCATAAATCTTGGATTTTGCTCAGAAAACCAGCTGTTGTATTCAAAGAATATATCCTTATTTATCCTTGCTTGAGTCAATTAGAGAATGTTGGGGCTGGAAAAAGCCTAGGTGGTGTCATTTCAGAAAAGAGAATACAAACCGAGGCTCAGAATCAGGAAGAAACCTTCCCAGGGGCCAAGGTTGGGACCTTGGTCTATGGGCTGGGTCTGTCTCTGAACTTTCCTCCTGTTGCGCGTGTGGCCAACCTCTCTGAGAGGGGACGAGACAGCTAATCGTGAGCACAGATTGATGGTGCATATTTGTAAAGACAGCGTCACGAAGCTGCTCATTCATTCATCCACCAAACACGACTGAGCACCCCCAGTGCCCAGCACTGTGCTGGGAGCTGGAGTGCTAGGATGAATCAGATGTACACTGTGTCCATGCCAGGTCTGGCACCAGCTGCCCCATGGACCATTACAAAGCTAAGACCTGATCATCTTGCTCAAGGAGTCTGCTGTCTCCAAGAGAAAAGACATGCACGAATTGCTAATGCACTAGGTAAGGTCATTTCAGGGGTAAAGGTGATGCTTTGTGAGAGACAGGTGGTCAGACAGGGAAGGCTGAGACAACTGGGGACTGCCACGTTCCAGGAATGAGGATGTCTGAGTCCCTGCCTCCTCTGTGTCTGTCTGTCTGTCTCTCTCTCTCTCTCCCAGACGAGATTCTGCAAACACAACAGAAAGGCAGGAGCTGTCCTGACACCTCAGGGGTCACAACACCCTCTCTCCTGAGACTCAATGAGGCTTTGTCTGCTGTATACATTAAATACTTCTGATGCTGTAAAGATGATGAGACTGGCAACCAGAGAGAGCAATTTAGAGATAAAGTTTTGCTTTGTCAGAGTAACAGATTTCTTTTCAGTTAAGAAATGTTATCATTAAAACCTTTGGGACTTCTGCTTCCAGCCAAGATGGAGTAACAGAGACCAGATTTGCCCTCCTGCCTAAAACATGCAAAAACATACTAAATATATAAAACAAAGGTTTGTTTGTTTAACAGTAGGTACATTTATCATGCAACAATAGACAATGACCCCAGAGAGACAAGAAACAAATGAGGTGAGTCTTAGCACTGGCCAGCTTCCTCCCTTAGGGGGGTTTCCAAACAGTGGTGCAGGAATGGAAAAGCCATGCAGGGCCCAGCCAGCCCTGCAGGTTGGGGAGATGCAGCTGAGAGTCCAAGGAGTGAAACAGATGGTTTCTCCCCAAGGGAACTTTGAGAAGAGCAGAGGAAGCCAATAGCAAACAAATGTACCACCAAATATGTAATTACATATCGTGGCAAGAGTTAGGAAAGAAATGGAAAAGAGATGGTGATACTCCCAGAGGTGTGTCTGCAAAAGAAGCACGTAGAGTGGGGAGCTCAAGATGTGCCCACCTGAATGTGTGTTCAGGGAGGCTGAGGGACCAAAGAGACCAAGGAAGTTCCTGTTGGGAGGTGGGATTCTCCCAAAGTCCAAAATCACAGAACCATGTGGGATCAAGCAAGCCTTCGGGCCACTCTTGGTGACAAAACACCTCTCCTATAGTCCTCATGGGGTTTTGTCACTATCAAATGGGACAACAGAGGCAACATTCTTGTGGGTACCAGGAATAACATCCATCACTTACCCAGCAATGATTTTATGGGACTACCACACATGATGGTGCATAGCCCAATTACATCCCCTTTTATGTATGTATGTATGTATTTAATTAATTTATGTATTTATTTTAACAGCTCCTTAGTCAAGTTGATATATGCCCCTTTTAAACATAGATAAACTGAGGCTACACAGCCAGAGGCTTGGCAACAGTACTCATAGCCAACTCAACTCACAGGGGGAACAGCTGTCCCCTTCTGAGCCAGCTGTTGCGGAGAAGTGGTGCACAAGAGATATCTGACTGACAGGTTGGAACTGAGCCGCCATGAATGAATCAAAGGGTCAGCAAGTAGGCTGGACAATCTCAGGTTTGGAAGGTATCTTTAAACAGTAATGCAATCTAGTTCTAGAAGAGGAAAGTCATAGCCATGGTTCTTTGTTTTAAAATCACTTTTCCATCATGAAACAGAGGCTTTATCCATGGCTTGGCCTGTTGACTTTGTGCTTAGATACATCAAGAGGCCAGCCATTTGCTTACATGGCTCCCCACTTCTATAGCCAAGCCCCGCTGGTCACCCTGG